ACAGTACGCTGCAAGATACGATCATATACATGGGATGATCTGATAAAAGAATACGCTGCAAGGCACGATGATATATATGGGCTGATCTGATATAACAGTGAGCTGTAAGACACGATTATATACATAGTCTGAACTGATATAACAGTAAGCTGCAAGACACGATTATGTACATGGTATGAACTGATATAAGATTAAGCAGGAAGACTCGATTATGTACATGGTGTGAACTGATATAACAGTAAACTGCAAGACACGATTATATACATGGAATGATCTGATATAACAGTAAACTACAAGAGAATATTATATACATTGGATGATCTGATATAAAGGTAATCTGCAAGACACGTATATATACAAGGGATGATCTGATCTAACATTAAGTTGTAACACACTGTTATGGACATTGGATGATCTGATATAACAGCACGCTGAAAATACGATTATATACATTGCGTGAAATGATATAACAGTAAGTTGCAAATCAGGATGATGATCATGGGATGATCTGATCTAACAGTAAGCTGTAAGACACGATTATATACATGGTGTGAACTGATATATGCGTAAGCTGCAAGACACGATTATGTACATGGCATGATCTGATAAAAGCTGTACGCTGCAAGACACGATTATATACATGGGATGATCTGATAAAAACAGTACTCTGTAAGATACGATTATATACATGGTTTGAACTGATATAACAGTAAGCTGCAAGTCACGAAGATATACATGGGATGATCTGATATAACAGTAAGCTGCAAGTCACGAAGATATACATGGGATGATCTGATCTAACAGTACGCTGCAAGTCACGAAGATATACATGGGATGATCTGATCTAACAGTACGCTGCAAGTCACGAAGATATACATGGGATGATCTGATCTAACAGTACGCTGCAAGTCACGAAGATATACATGGGATGATCTGATCTAACAGTACGCTGCAAGTCACGAAGATATACATGGGATGATCTGATATAACAGTACGCTGCAAGTCACGAAGATATACATGGGATGATCTGATATAACAGTAAGCTGCAAGTCACGAAGATATACATGGGATGATCTGATATAACAGTAAGCTGCAAGTCACGAAGATATACATGGGATGATCTGATATAACAGTAAGCTGCAAGTCACGAAGATATACATGGGATGATCTGATATAACAGTACGCTGCAAGTCACGAAGATATACATGGGATGATCTGATCTAACAGTACGCTGCAAGTCACGAAGATATACATGGGATGATCTGATCTAACAGTACGCTGCAAGTCACGAAGATATACATGGGATGATCTGATATAACAGTACGCTGCAAGTCACGAAGATATACATGGGATGATCTGATCTAACAGTACGCTGCAAGTCACGAAGATATACATGGGATGATCTGATCTAACAGTACGCTGCAAGTCACGAAGATATACATGGGATGAACTGATATAACAGTAAGCTGCAAGTCACGAAGATATACATGGGATGATCTGATATAACAGTAAGCTGCAAGTCACGAAGATATACATGGGATGAACTGATATAACAGTAAGCTGCAAGTCACGAAGATATACATGGGATGATCTGATCTAACAGTACGCTGCAAGTCACGAAGATATACATGGGATGAACTGATATAACAGTAAGCTGCAAGTCACGAAGATATACATGGGATGATCTGATCTAACAGTACGCTAATGTATGAAATGTACTGTGGGTGAATCGGGGTAAGGATGGTGCAATATTATTTGTGCTAGGTAGTATTGATTAACTGACTGCCACCGTACATGATTGATGGTTCGTATGCATTCATCGCTTTTATTGTCAGACAAATGGGGCGTTGTTTCCCACGATAGTTCCAATCATCTACATCACTATGGTTACATGCCGCCCTAGAGTTCGCCTGGTTGTTCTGCAATGAAATGAAATGAAAACTATATACAATGCACCCTGTTATGCATATCATTGTCTCTCGGCATTTTGCTCATATAATGATTGGCACGCGTTTTATTTCCAAGATGTGTCTGGGCGTGCGCATGTGTGGCTGCAGATGTTTCCGAGTCACTAATATAGTATCATGACATCTGTCTGGTCCCGAGTTTGTGGGCGTGCGCCTGTGTTTCCGAGTGTATATAGTTTCCTCAGCCATCGTGTCCATTAATAAGAGAATATAAAACATGTGTCAAAGAAATCACATATTAATTCAAGCAATGCAGTGTGTATCATATGTATGTCTTTAATTTCTCAGTTCAACAAAAACTGTTTCTCAAGTGCAGATTTCATTTACGGGACAATATTGCACACTTCAAGGCGAACATATTGACATAGTTCAATGCAGACCGCCTCCGTGGTCTGGTAGTAGAGCGTCCGCCCGGGAAGCGGAATGTCCGGGGTTCGATCCCCAGCCGCGTCATACCGTTAAAAGACGTTTAAAGATGGTACATGTTGTTACCCTGTCTGGTGGGGCTAAAAGGGGCTAAAACAAGGACTGGTCGGCTTGGAGTCAGCATACTGTGTCTGAGTGGGGTATTCATGTTAAACTGCGGTATGGTATTTCAGTGGGCCAGCACTATAAATCGGCATATATACTTATATACGTCGCTATATGAGTGTAATAATGTTGAACGCGACGTTAAATCCCATTTCACCTCAATTTTGTTCAATGCACTTATTGATCATGTCTAAGCTTTCGTTTTGTATGAAAGCGTCTTTGTTTTACACCATTTCCTTTATGATATTTCTATATCCGAATAACGATAACTTTAGAGTTGACATTTATGTCATACCATCCCTATTGTCAACATATACACATGTGAAATATGCTCTCCAAGCATCGGAGGTTATGTTCGAAAATAACAGATGATTACAGGAATAAATAGAGGTTATCACGCGAGTGTGTTTGGGGATGGTAAATATCCTGCATTAAGAATAAACATTGTATTTAGTGAGCCTTGGCGCGCATTAATATTTATTACGTCACAGGGTAAGTGATGTGTCAGTCGGACAGTGACAGTAGCCAATATAGTTCCAAGTGAAATCTGTTTCTTATACAGTGGCAGCAACAATTGTTTTTACTTGTCTTTCGCGGCAGTCCATCGGTCTGTCCGCTAAAGTAACTGTCCTTTGTCAAAGGGAAGCTACTCTAACCCTAGTCTATGAGACGTCACGGCCACGTTCAGACGTTGTTGACAGTCGGCCTGTTCTGTCATAACATTAAGAAGTTCAGTTAGATGTACACACAGCGCCAAAACGAAACAAGGTAACAATTCATACATATTTCGCCTAAATCCAACTATTTTTATTTGTGGAAAAGGTTTCAAGCCGCAGAGGTCTACAAGCACAGATATGGCTACTGATCCCGCTTGACTAGGCCTAGTGCCCTCGCAAAATTGTTTCGAAATTTATATCTCCAAAGTTGCCAAAACTTATAAAATGCCTTAGTTACGTCGCAGATCGACACTGATTTTCAGTATATAAGACTGTTTTTTTGGATAATTATAGCAATTATCCCTGTAGTTTATCCAGATTCAGGATGGTTAATTATGACTCGATCGCCGAATGACGAGGGCGACGCCATGTTTGTTTATAAACACTGAAAGTAGTCCCTACTTGACCTTTGATATTTGCATCTCTATCCGCATATGACCCCAACGGATATCGTTTTTATCCGTTGGCTTTATCCTGCCGAGAAACCTACCTATTATATGATAAACAGATTTATCAAGTGATGTTACTGGATATGAAGAAGGACGGCCGAGGTGTACCATGACGACGAACAGAACATGTTAGCGATGTGGTGTATTGTAAGGGTGCAAACAACGAAGAAAGACGACAAGGGTGTGTAGTACAAAAATGACCGTTTGAGATGACTTGATCAATAATTGGTCCCGCCCCCGCGATTGGTCTGTAGGTTGTTCGTACGGCGTGGCATGGTCCGGATCAAACTCCCGATGACAAAGTGAGGGAGTCTTATTCACTCCTCTAGCAGCGCCTGGTTTAGTTCGGCTAATGTAGCGGGCGGTGGCCTTCACGCCGGCGTACACGTGCTCTACGGGGGAAAGGTCAGGATTCATGCCTTTAGTCTTCGTAATATCATTAGTCTTCGTATAATCAGGTGACAATTTCGTCCTCTGCCACGGCCGTATACAATACCACAGGTAACACTTGCGTCCTCTGCCACAGCCGTATACAATACCATAGGTGACGCATTTGTCCTCTGCCACATCCGTATACAATACCATAGGTGACACATTTGTCCTCTGCCACTGTCGTATGCAATACCACATAGCTAGCGGCCCTCTACTGTATTCCAGCAAATGGGCTGGTAATACTAAACTTTCCTTATTTCCTCCGTGGAGACGGGTACAGTATTTGTGGAGTGAAAGTTACACTGACAAGGTAAACCTATCAAGGCGACATGGCCATGGCCAATGCTGTGTGTTGTGGGCGTTCACCATGACACCATCAAACATGAGACAGACACTTCTGATGACTGACCAACACGTGGAATTTCAAGATACAGACGAAACGTGACATAAGTGTTTCAAACGTCTGTAAAATACCTGTGGTATTCAACGAACGTCAACAGCCTCTCTACCAAGTCCATCCTCGTGCTGTAGTCTCTTCATACTGGTATCACTGCCAAACTAAACACATACTGCACAGTTATTAGTCACAATCACTCAGAAACGTGTTACCCCGTGACAAAATATACCAAGTGTTCGATACTCCGGGTGTAAGGAACATTCTCCCCAAAAGTTATGTTCAAATCTTTCAAGGTATGAACATTTACTCTTTTTCGTTAAATATACGTTAAGTCGTGTGGACATTCTCCAAGTATTCCAAATATTATGTTTAAACAAGTCACGGAAGCAGTTTTTTTTTTCGTCTTTCAGTATGTCATGATTCTGCGACAATTTGTTTTTTTTCAAAATACGTCATGCGAGATGTTCATCCATATCTCCAGACAAATATATGCTGGAATATCTTTCCATAGACAATAACACGTCATCGTGGACAATGCAGTGTGGGTTCTATGTATATATTGTAGGAACAGAGGAGACATAATCAACCAGAACCTGACTGTATATGTGGCTGCAACACAAGTATGGTGGCTGATGTCAGAACCTCAGTGATGACAGCAGGACGCTCATGTTGTCGGCTGGGCACCGGCGTTTGACACAGGATATAGTTTGTGCGCCACCAGCTATCGATCAACGGAGGACCAACATGTGAGTAATATGTTTGCAAAACTAAAACCTGTTCACTGCTGATAATCGATCGCAGTGGGTATTTGTTGTGTGATCGCCTGTGGATTGTGTGATCAGATTGTTAACGCGATACCGCCAATCGTACTACTGTGTCATACGAGTGAAAGATAACATCGGACCATGCACTTTGTGCGGGACAACCGCCAGCTTATACGCACTTCATTGAAGATCGTGGATACTCTCTATACCGTACGTTGTTATGGTGATTATGAAACACCACAACAAGGTGTGCATTACCATTCATCAGCAATATGTTTAATTACAACTGTCGTCACATTAGTGGTGATAGCAATTGTAGTAACAACTACAGTACTTGTAGCATTTGCAGTAGTATCATTAGAGGCAGCAGTAGTAGCAGCAGCAGAACTAAAAGCAGCAGTAATGATAATCGGAGCAGTAGCAGTAGTAGCAATATTAGTAGTAGTAGTAATAGTAGTAGTAGTAGTAGTAGCAACAGCAGTAGTAGCAATAATAGTAGCAATAACAGTAGTAGTAATAGTCGTAGTAGTAGTAGTAGTAGTAGCAATAGTAGCAGTAGCAATAGTAGTAGTAGCAATAGTAGTAGTAATAGTAGTAGTAGTAGCAACAGTAGTAGTAATAGTAGTAGTAGTAGCAACAGCAGTAGTAGCAATAATAGTAGTAGTAGTAGTAGCAATAGTAGTAGCAGTAGTAGTAGTAGCAATGGTAGTAGTTGTAGTAAAAATAGTAGTAGTAACAGTAGTAGTAGTAGTAATAGTAGTAGTAGTAGTAGTAGTAGTAGCAAAAGTAGTAGCAATAGTATTTGTAGTAACAGTAGTAGTAACAGTAGTAATATTAGGAGCAGAATCAGCAACGAGTGAGTGTGTGAGTTGGGCTTAATGGAGCTTTGAAAAGTATTCCAGTTATATCACGGCGTGTCAGCTTAATGTGGAAGGAAAACCCGAAGTGATGCATGTATCAGACGTTTGCCACTTTGGTGAAACCCACGAGCACGTATGGTGCTGACAAACCTAGACACATATACTGTTTAGCATGATACATACAGGAAGACTATACTTATTCAAAAGTACATATGTGAAATATATCATCTCACTAAATGTTGACGCTGCATCAGTAGTAACCTAAGAATTGTAGATAAATACTAAAAGAATTGTAGATAAATACTAAAAGAATTGTAGATAAATACTAAAAGAATTGTAGATAAATACTAATACATACCCTGGACCCGCTGCTTCGTTTTTAATTTCCTAATATACCATATTTAGGAGTCGGAAGCACAGGAGGGAAATACTCGCTTTCTATTATAATCGAAGATTAACACATTGGTCTTACTAAAGTAGGCCCTTGCAAATTTATTGGATAGTGATATCAATGTTTTTCGGATTGGTTATCGCGTGCATTGAAAATGTATTTGTCTAAAGTGCTGTGAAACAACTCCAGTGACCAGTCATTATAGCTGCCAAACCGCCATCACTACAATGAAATAAAATAAAATAGACCATCGTGTTTTCTTTAAGTGGAAATACAACCAGAGAAAAGGGAAAAAATATACTGGCCAAAAAAAAGAAACGCATAGCTGAAATCAATTTTTCAAACTTGACTGTTATTAAAAATGAAGGCTTGGACTCAATATAAATGTCCTATAAATGCACCCGAACACAACATTTGGTGACTTGTCGCCAAAATACAGCATCTTGAAACCAAACTGGGAGAATTTGCATGGAGAAAAAGCTGTAAGCATGCTGCACGTGCAAATACGGCTACTTAACTTTTATACCGATGGGTATAAAAAATTTGGCAGTCCTGCTGCGAATCACTCTCCGATGTTCTGTATACTCGACTCTCATGATGCCAAGACTGAATGAAGACTGCAGAAACAGAGCCATTGGACGTCTGGAAGCTGGAGAAAGTCAGACATCAGTAGCCAGGCACTTTAACGTGAGGCAGAGTACCATATCTCGTCTGTGGCAGCGCTACAGACTCCACAACTCGACAAGAGATCGACCGAGAAGTGGAAGACCCAGGGTCACAACTGCGGCGCAGGACCGCTTCATCCGGATGTTGCATCTTCGCAACCGGACAATCAGTGCAGCATACACAGCTAACAATGTTCCTGGTCTTCGTAGAGTCTCAGCGCAAACCATCAGAAATCGCCTAAGACAGCATGGGATACGGCCAATGAGACCATATACAGCGCCCGTTCTGTGGCAACATCATCGTCGTGCACGTCTGCAATGGAGCAGAAATGTTCGACCATGGACCCTAGTGCACTGGAGAAGGATATGGTTCAGTGATGAGTCGCGGTTCATGCTGTATCGCCATGATGGTAGGATGCGTGTCTACAGACGGAGAAATGAACGCTACACTCGACACTGTATTCATGAAGTCGACCGATACGGCGGTGGAAGTGTCATGATGTGGGCAGGCCTATCCGTGAATGGTACGCTACCGTGATAAAATCTTTCAACGTGACCTTATTCCCGCAATTGACGTCAGAAGAGATATTTTCCAGCAAGACAACGCATGACCGCATATAGTGCGTGTTACCATGGATTATCTTTCCTACAACAATGTTACTGTGCTGCCATGGCCCTCCAAATCGCCTGATCTAAACCCCATTGAACATTTGTGGGATCTGCTAGACAGACGTGTACGACGCCGACAGCCTCAACCACAGACGCTTCAAAAACAGGTGAACCATGCATTGCAGGATGAGTGGAGAAGGATTCCACAACGCCAGATTCGACGTTGCCCAGGCGGTGCAGAGCTGTGATCGATGCTCGTGGTGGTAACACCCGGTACTGACTTTGGCACAGTGCCATCACAGACACAGACGTCCCTTAGAACATTGTAGCGTAAGAAACATGTGCCTCATCCTGTGTAAAATTTGGTTATTGTATCTTCATTATTTATTGTGTAATCCTATTTCATTAAACATGTAATGAAACACTGATTATTCTGTTATGCGTTTCTTTTTTTGGCCAGTGTATATACAAACTTGTGGTCACTTAAAACAGACATAGTATGCCAGCATAATTTTGACGAATTACGCAAAATTGAAACGATGTTTTTTTCTTGCGAGAATACAAAAATAGTTTTATAATTTGATACAGTATACTGTAAATACCTTTTGTAGAGCTTTCTATGTCTGTCGATAGGAAACTTGAAGTTGTACTAAGTGTGTTAGACCGCAAACGTTGTGATGCATCCATATATTCTTTATTCATCCTCTGAGTTGGTACATTACAATAACATACCTAGGAGATTATGTAGTTATGTACATAATTGGACGTTACTTATCGTATAGGCACGGGTAATATATGGATGGCTTTACTGAAAATTCATAGGAGTTCGTTGTGTCAATGCTTATGTATCAGTGCAGCGAGTCCTCTAAACATCAGGTGTACATAACTGACACACACAGAGATGAATTGTTCAGACTCGTCTTGGTTCAGTTCGTAGACAGGACAGTAGGCATAGCACAGGCTCTATATCAGGTAGGCTGTGGAGGTATTAGGGCTGGCACGAGTCCAAATTTACTACCCGGGTATCCACACCTCTATTACCCGACTCTACCCGATCTTGGTGTCAAAAGATAGGTACAAAATGTCCGATTGTGAATAGTTTGACAGTAGCCCTGGCAAAATGTATTTAGATACTCGTATAAAATGATGTGGCCATGCATACTCTGAGGTTGACTGAAGTTTCAGCTTTGTTCAAACATATGTAAGTCAGAAGGAACGTGTTCAGAGTAATGAAGAAATGCGACTTAAAATTGTAGTTATATAGTGAATTTTTTTCATTAAACAATATATCACATTACTAACTGCGGGTCCGGGTAGTCCTTTGGGTACCCGGGTCCTACTCAGTACCCACCAGACCCGAGTACCCGAGTTACCCGTCCCAGCCCTAGGAGGTATACACTAAACCCTATTTTTCCAGTGTTGATCAGTTCACAACAAAGTTGATCCCGTATAACATTAAGGTCATCACAGTGAACAACTGCATGGATGTCACGTCGGTAAGATCTCTTGTGGAGGCACAGATATGGAGTAGAAACCTTGCACTGCACACGGTATGTGCTAACTTCCATGCTGGGTGAACCACAACATTTTAATGGGTCAATGAGAACTTCATCCTTTGTAATTCGTTCACATCACGCTGTAAACATCTTAACAGCAACTTTTACAGTCTGTTTCCACATCTTCTGACTGGGTAAGTTGCCTGTGCACAGGTACCAATCTATTACATTACCTAGATGGTACTTCTGCATGAGTTTAATCGCTTCAGGTATAAAACCGCGTTGTCCTTTCGCATAGGCCATGCACATAACGTACGAGATGAGGAAGATATATCTGGTTCACGAGGTTTCCCACAAAGAATAGTTTGCATGTATCAATCACGGCCTCTAAGGGTAGTAGTCCCAACAGGCAAGGTTATACTTCAGTCCTTACTCTCTTTTGCACCCCTTGGATGACTTTGATTACATGTCGATAGACTCTTTCAAGTATAACAATTTCAGTAGAGCTGCTAGAGATCCATAACTGACATCCAAAGAGTCACTTTGGTAGGGCAACAGCCTTGATAAGTCTCAAACATGTTTGGGATTGACAAATTTTGGATCTAGTCCTTCGCGTGACATGGAGTACGCATAAGACCTTAGCTTATTGCTGGGCCTCCAGAGTCCTTTCCATAGAGTTGAAGTCATCAGTCAGTATAACACCAACATGCTCGACTGACTTGGCTGTAGGTATAGGGTGCCCCTGGAGCATTATTTCAGCTGTCGCTTACCTTTTTCTGCTTCCGAAGGTCATGTTCTGACTTTTAGCGGGACAGAGTATGAAACGCCACTGTTTACTGTAATCTTCAGGGATTTTCAGAAGTGCCAAAGGGATTTACTGAACTTGAGCTGACCAAGGCGACATCATAAGCTTGTAAGTCCATGATAAGAGACCCTCGTTTGAAGTCCACAATCATGTCTA